GGGGGGGGGGGGGCGGAGGGAGGTCGGCAGGAGGGCACAGTGGGCTTTCTGCGACGGGCTTGAGTTGAGACACTTTGAAGGTGGGATGAATCCACATAGATGCAGGTAGCTGGAGTCTGACTGCCGTGGGACTGAAGATACGTGTGATGCTAAAGGGACTGATGAAGCGGGGAGCCAACTTACGTGGGGTGTCCTTGAGGTGGATGTTCTGGGTCGACAGCCAGACCCTTTGTCCAACCTTGTAAGATGGAGCTGCAGATCGGTGACGATCCGCAATCTCCTTGTTTTTAGCAGCTGTGCGCAGCAGGGCGAGCTTAGTTTGGCACCAGACCCGACGGCATCTCCTGAAGTGATGTTGCACAGAGGGAACTGCTACATCACCTTCTTGGCTGGGAAACAATGATGGAGTGTAACCAAGGGAGGCTTCAAATGGAGACATACCAGTAGCAGATGGTGTGGGTGTTGTGGGCATATTCCACCCATACCAGGTGTTGGCTCCATGTGGAGGGATTGTCCTCCACCACACACCTGAGGGCAGCCTCTAATTCTTGATTGGCCCGTTCGGCCTGACCATTGGACTGTGGGTGGTAACCTGATGTTAGGCTGACAGAGGCCCCTAAGGAATTACAAAAGTTCTTCCATACTTGTGATATGAATTGGAGTCCTCTGTCAGAAACGATGTCCGATGGGATGCCCTGAACTCGAAAAACACGTTGGACCAATAGCTGGGCCGTCTCCAAGGCTGAGGGAAGCTGGGGCAACGGAACGAAATGAGCTGCTTTAGAGAATCTGTCAATGACAGTGAGAATAACGGTTGTACCATCAGAGGGAGGCAAACCAGTAACAAAGTCTAGAGAGATATGAGACCATGGGCGGCTGGGGGTGGGAAGTGGCTGTAATTTTCCAGCTGGAGGCTGGTTGCCGGTCTTACTTCTGGCACATGTGGGGCAAGCGGCTACATAGTTCTTTATATCCTTGTTCATGGAGGGCCATCAGAAGTGTCTCTTAGTCAGAGCTAGCATACGAGTAACACCTGGGTGACAAGAAATTCTGTGAGTGTAGAGCCAGTTGAGTACCTTAGCCTTGATACTGGTGGGAACAAACATCGTGCCAGAAGGGCCTGTCCCAGGGTCAGGTTCGGACTTCTGGGC